TTTGAACATAAGAACAATAATTCAGTTTTTGAGTATAATGACAGGGGAACATACAGGCAAAAGCCACCTGTCAGAAGACAAATGGACATCTACCAAATTTGTTATTATCAAATGGTTTGTTGTGTTCAGCCTAATCATCCAAAATATTAATGAGGGTGTTGTGAATTAAATGCATCCAAAGATTACAGTGAACAGAATGACGATTCCACCTCAGAGCACCACACTAAAATCATAGAATCATAGAAAGGCTTGAGTTGGAAGGAACCTTAAAGATCATCTAATTCCAACCTCCTCTGCTATTGGCAGGAATGTCACCCACTAGATCAGGTTGCTTAGGGCCCCATCCAGCCTAGCCTTGGACACTTCCAGGGATGGAAGAGTTGTTTCTATTTTGCAGGTTTACGATCTAAATACAGTTGCAAAAGACATAGAGCTGCCCGGAGCATTCATTCTTGGAGCTGGAGCTGTTTCATCTAAGATTCTTGGAGTAAATGCTGAGGTCAGTAAATAAGTGCAATGGTTCTCCATGAATTCATGGAAGTATCATAATAATAGAGCAGTATCTTACAGGGTATTTCCCATTTACCACAAAATACTTAATAAACACTTTTCATGCCACAAGCACATAAAACACATTAGAAGGAATTCAGATGAGGGCCATCCACTGAGGTGCATACTACTGAGATAATAAAGATTAATTTTTAACTTGTAATTCTTCAGGAAGCATGTGATTGCCTTGGAGCATCCAAGAAACATGACTTTTTTGAAACTAATTGACAAAGACTTGACCAGAGGTTTTAACTCCAAGATTTAGAAAAGCTTTTCAAACTTACAGGTAAATGCCTTTAAAATACTCCCTGTATTTCTCCCTCTCGGATGACTTTACCACTGTAAATTTTAAAAATGCCACATACAAAATGGTGAACTGCAAGAGAGGCAGGAGATAAAAACTACTGCCTATGGAGACTGGATAATCAGAGTTATTTCAGGCATAAACCTCTGGTCTTGCTGTCTTCTTTTAATGGATTTATTGGCAGGTGAGATAGCCCATCTCAACATTAAATTTGGGCCATTATAAAAGTGGTTGTTACTGTACACTGAAAAAGTATTACATAGAATTCCAGTACTTGAATTGGACCTCAGATACTTTTTTTCCTCTTTTTTTTGTTTATTTTTTTTAACACTAGTATTCATCTTCACATGACATTAAATTTAATTGTCCAGAAAAAGAATATCTCTTTTCTGGATCTTTCATTTACATTACAATATTAGTACATTTTTCTTACCAGTTCAAATGTAATCCTGAGAGATAGAGCTATGTGATGAAGAGGATTATTTCTTGGGTTCATGGTCCAAAGCTTAAACAGTGTTTAAGTGAATTCAGTTCATTTAACTCACTCTTATGTGTTCTAATTGACTCACTTAACTCTTATATGTTCTTTTTCTCAGCTTATCCCTATTGTTCAAACTAAGAGTGAAAAAAAGCCTGCTGTAAATGGGAGCTATGTTGCTCAGATAAATCCTGCAGACAAAGGGTGCCTGCTTGAGAAGTACAGCAGTAAATATACTGACTGTGAGTTTGGACTGTTGGCCAATCTTTATGCCAGTGAGGGCCAACCTGGTAAGGTGTGTACTTGGATCAAAGGTGACTTGTTTGCAGAGCTTTGTGACTGAAGGGAAACTCATGATTTAATGTTCTATGTGTTCTCTGTGGTAATAGTAAAGTTGTAATTCCATGAGAGAAACATGCAACCATAAGGAACTGATGCCAATGAACAAAGGGCAGAATTGGTGGAGACAGAGAGGCATTTGAATTTTTGAGGCATAAGTATTAGCTTAATAAAACCTTTCCATCATCATAAATCAGATGTGGGCACCTGTCTAGCTTTTTGTAGAAGTGCTTCCCCTGACACAGCCAGCACAAAGATGTGTTGGCAGAGCAGTCAAAAACTGACTATTGCATGGAAACTGAAAAGTCTTTTCTGATACCAGGAGTTTCTTGGTAACAGAAGCCAGCTGATAGAAAGGGGTTGCTCATATCACTGTCTCACGTATTGAGTAAATCTCTTGCTGCCCAGCACCCTTCACAGGCAAAGCTAGCACTAAACAGAAGTCAGGAAAAGAGAGTTGGTCAAGTACTAGAAAGAGCAGCACTTGCAGGGAATTGCATTTTCAGAAGGTAATTTTGGGTTATCAGCTTGAGAGAATTTCAGAACAGCTTTTATAGACCTTTGCAGACTGTTGCAGCAGGAGACAGCAGTGACCAATTAACTTTATTTTCCAGGTCATTGAAGTGAAAGCCAATGGAAGAACTGGGGAACTTAACTTTGTTTCCTGCCTGAGACAAACTTTAGAGAAACACTATGGAGAAAAGCCAGTTGGGATGGGTGGTACATTTATCATTCAGAAGGGGAAAGCAAAGATTCACATTATGGTATGTTGTTCTCAATTCATGTAACTTTCTTTGTCCTCCTGAAAACAGAAGTATAAATCAGGGTGTAACATCTTAGTGCCTTGACTTTGTTTTGTATTGTTAAATGTATGCATAAACTATTAGGATAAGCACTGTATTAAAGCAAGGAGCTGACATTACAAAATCGGTGTTACAAAACTAGTGATGCTGTTTTACTTGGCCTTAATACCATCATCTCTTGAAATCCTTGGGCAGGTAAAGAATTGGAGAGCTATTGTAAAATGAATTGAAATGAAATATGTGAACTGAGATTATATTTACAAGAAGCATTAGACTCTTTTGAAAATAACTGAGCTTCTAAAATGTACCAGGAGCAGGAGAATCCTCACTTCAGTAGTTCTTCCAATACCTATGCTATGAAAGAAGCAATATTCTGGTCACTTCTATTTCTGGCAGAAACACAGTGATGGGCACTGGTGAGCTTCTTTTCATCAAGAAGTAAAATGAACAGAATAGTGGGAAGGGGAAAAGTGAAAGAAAGTTGCTAAAGAAGAAGTATCTTGATGCAAGTGTCTTCCTTTTACTTATAAAGCTTTCTTTTTTGCTGTAGCCTCCAGAATTTTCTACCTGTCCCCTAAATACTGATGAGGATGTGAATAACTGGCTCAAATTCTTTGAAATGAAGGCTCCACTGATTTGTCAGCCAGTAATAGTTTCCAGAGATCCGGTGAGTCTCCTTTTTCATTTCTAAGTGTAAACTGAGACTTGTAATGAATTTTGTCTTGGCTGTGATCTTCTTTTTAAGAACAGGAGTGTGTAAGTATTGTGTTAGACTCTTCCAGAGGTGGTGTAATAAAATAGAAGTTTCTCGTTTCTGTGACTTGTTTGAATTGAATCTAGGTCAATCTGTTCTGAAACCTAGTTGTTGTTCATAGTGGATTGAACTTAATGGTTCAGTTCCAATTGCAAGTGTGCAAGTGTTTGCATTCCAAATCCAACAACAGTTTGCATTCACCGCTAGCCACGCTGGAAGAAATGCCAAGAGCATGGAAGCTGGTTCAGCTGTGTGTGTTTATGTAGTTCACTTTCGTAAGAACTCTCTCTGCTAATGCTGTGTTGAAATACATGAAAACATGTGTCTTGTTGCTGATGGAAATTCAAGTCTGCAAAGCCTTATGCTGGAAAGTTATCTACCATCTTTCACAAGCACTAAATTCAACAGCAAATAATTCAGTAATTAATCTGGTTTCAAAAACCATGAAGATGCTCATCATTAGGAAAACTATTTATTTAAAGGTAAGCAAGAAACCATAGATGAAAATGACTATTTTATAAATAACAATGCAGTCATAAGTAATATAAAAACATTTTTCCAGAGTTAAATGAGACATACTGTAGGCTTAAATATGTTCAAGGGTGTGACTTCATTGTGTCATTATGGGGCAGTCTTTGGCAGTCTTTGGCTTACGGATAAATTGTGTGCATCTTCCCAGAATAAACTGATGTGTGCTGTTTATCAGTATCTTCTTGCAGCCCAGAAAATTCCTGGACTGCATCAAATAAAGCATGGCCAGGTCAAGGGGTGTGATTCTCTCCCTTATGAGACCCCACCTGGACTGCTGCATCCAGCCCAGAGGCCCTAAGAAAGACGTGGACCTGTTGGGATGGGTCCAGAGGAGGGTCACGAAAATGATCAAAGGGCTGGAGCACCTCTCCTATGAAAACAGACTGAGAGAGCTGGGGTTTACTGTGGAGAAGAGAAGGCTCCAGGAAGACCTTATTGCAGCCTTCCAGTACCTAAAAGGAGACTTTTAGGAAAGATGGAGAAAAACTTTTTAGCAGGGCACCTGGTGACAGGAAAAGGGGCAAGAGTTTAAAATTGAAAGACTTTCAAATGCTGTTCACATGAATGCCTTGTTGATCGACCTTTCTTTCTCTGGTGACAGGGCTTTGATCTGCGTGTGGAGCACACCCACTGTTTCAGCCACCACGGAGAAGGAGGGCACTACCACCAGGACACCAGCCCGGACAGTGTGCAGTACCTGGGGTACTTCCAGCCTGCCGAGCTGCTCTTCCGCATTGACAGGCCCCAGGAGACGCACCTGGTCGGGAGAGACTGAGCCTCCTGCTGGGCAGTTTAATCTTCCCGAAGTACAAATGCTGATTTTTGTAACGCTTTTAATTATGCGCACTTATCAAATTTAAGAATAAATATGAGAGCAGTAAACTGCCGACTTCTTAAGTGTGTTAAAGGGAGGAACTCGGAGCGTACTTGTTATTGGAGTTATGACCCAATTCAAACTGTAATTTCATTGCAATGTTATTGTATATTTTCCTGCTGTTTGGTTGAGCTTCCTACGTGGTCATAGCTAATGAGGCGGAAACAGAGGTGAAATTATGTTTAGAACGGGTCATTAAACCAACTTCTGGTCAAAAATAACGCTGTGGAAGAAAAGCTTCAGCAGCTCAGCGTAGCAACATTCCGTACCCTCCCCTCACGCCCCTGGCACCGCCCCTTCTCGACCATCTCCGGAAACGGCCGAGCCCTCCCGGCGCTGGCCCCACCCCTCCGCTCCCGCACGGCGCCGGCCCCGCCCCTGCGGGCGGGAGTGCGGGGGTCGATCCAAGATGGCGGGAGTGCCGGCCGTGCGCATCAGCATCGAGTCGGCGTGCGAGAAGCAAGTGCAGGAGGTGGGGCTGGATGGCAGCGAAACCTACCTCCAGCCGCTTTCCATGTCCCAGAACCTGGCGCGCCTGGCGCAGCGCATCGACTTCAGCCAGGGCTCCGGCTCCGAGGAGGACGAGCCGGGCTCGGCGGGCCGCGCCTGGACTGAACCGGGCGAGGCGGAGGATGAGGAAGGTGAGGAGGGGCGGCGGGGCCTACGGCCCAGGCTCTCCCGCCGGGATGGAGCTAGTGTAGGCCCGCCCAGGTGTGGGTGCCCGGCCTGCAGCCCCGCCGGTGCTTGGGCCTGGCCTGCCTTCCTCCTGGGATTCCCACGGTTGGCTGTGGATCAGGTTAGGATAGTCATGACCGAGTCCCTGCAAGATGTAGAGGAAAAAGATAGCTCCAGATACGTCATGTTATATTTCATGCCCTTATGGTCTCTTCGTGGTTTAAGAATGCGTCTTAAACCATATCTTTTTAAAGTCCTTTGTTTTCCCTTTCTTTGTTTTATTTTTAGGGTTGGTAAAGTTCCAGCCATCCCTCTGGCCTTGGGATTCAGTGAGGAACAACTTAAGAAGCGCCCTGACTGAGATGTGTGTGTTGTATGACGTTCTTAGCATTGTGAAGGATAAAAAGTTCATGACTCTAGATCCAGTCGTGCAGGATCCCCTTCCCCCAAAGCAGGTACGTTGTACCTAAGTTATGCACTTCGTGTAGCTTGATGCTAAAGATTTTATTTTGGTGGATTTTTTTCATGTGTGATGTGTACAAGACTTTGTAAAACTTTCCTTGTGCTAGGACAGTGCTTTGTGGGTCAGGGTAAGGCTGGGAATGGGAGGTGAGGCCAATTTCAGAGGCCTCTTTGCTGAAGTTCTAAATCAAAATGCTACCTGTGACTGTATAATGCTGATATGAAAGTAATTCCAAATCAGTTAGTGGACATCCAGCAGTAACAACTTCTCAATTACTGTCAATTAGTTTCCATTAATAATAATAAAGAATGATTTTTTTTTGAGAATTCAGGTGTAAGTATCTCTGTATCTTTTTTTTTTTTGGTGTTGTTAACAGAATCCTCAGTTTCTACAGTTGATTTCAAAAAAGAAGTCATTAGCTGGAGCAGCTCAAATCCTATTGAAAGGTGCAGAAAGATTATCCAAATCGGTTGCAGAAAACCAGGAAAACAAACGACAAAGAGACTTCAACTCTGAACTGCTGAGACTGAGACAACACTGGAAGCTGAGAAAAGTGGGAGACAAAATTCTTGGTGATCTGAGCTACAGAAGTGCAGGTAAACAGTAGGGTCTTTTTCACAAGAATGTATATATTATGAAATTTGCTTTTTGTAACTGGAAAAACCAGATAGAGTATTTAATAATAGATTATTTTAATATAAGTTTATTATAATTTTGAGACAGGATTATAAAGCTCCTGTTTTATTATCAGGAAAAATATATTGCCATCCTCAACCTAGAAAGTACTTTTAAAGGCTCACTGTGTAGAATTTAAGAAAGGATTTCTTTATGGAAACAATTTGGCATTGACAATGTAGTTGATCAGTTGACAGGGAGACCTTGTTAAGTCTTTGGCTTTTATCTACATTTGGTCTCTAAAGCATTTTAAAAAAGATGAAAAGTGTGTTACATTTTCTTCTGAGTGAAGATCGTAGAATATCCCAAGTTGGAAGGGATTATCAAGTCTTAACTCCCTGCTCCTCAGAATTCAGACTAAATAAAACTAAACCATGTGACTAAATGTTGTCATCAAAGATAGATTTATTATACCTATTATTCCTATACTTGAGAGACATAATACGGAGAATATGCCTTATTTCATGGATAAGACAGTAAGAGAGGGTGACCAGGGAGACCAGGGTTTTAAAGGCCATGATGGAGTGACAAAGTGAATACAGAATCCCATGGAATTTAAGATATAGCTACAAAGCAGGCATCAGAACTGGGTGTGTTGGGTTCCTGTTGTCGTCAGTGGAGGAGGGGAAGGACAAATTTGAGGTTGTTCATGTTTTTTTTATTTTTCCTCTTTCCTTGCATCTATTGACACCATTTTGAAACAGTTGGTTTTCCCTCATAATTATTAAATTCTCCATGCTAATTTACTTTAAAACATTACATGTCGCATACTGGAGGACTGAGATGCTGATGTGGTGAAATTAGCTTTCTAATTTATCTGGGGTTTTTTAAGAAGTCATTGAGAAATATGAGTCAAGTGCACCTCTGGAGGTTTGGAGACTTGGAAATACATATTCTTCCAAAATAAAGGAACGAGCTTTTTTTTTATTTGCAGAAGGTGCTTTATGTTTAGTATGTAAGTCTTTGCCCTTCTTTTCTCAGGCTCTCTTTTTCTTCATCATGGCACATTTGAGGTGATAAAGAACACTGACATTGACCTGGATAAAAAGATACCTGAGGATTACTGTCCTTTGGATGTTCAAATTCCAAGTGATTTAGAGGGATCAGCATATATCAAGGTTTGTCAGAGAAACTGTAATAATGTAGCATGAGTTTTGTTTCGGTATGTGTATGCTTGCAACAGAACAAACACCAAATAATGTTCTCTCTTGCCAAGGTTTCTATTCAGAAACAAGCTCCAGACATTGGTGACCTTGGGACAGTCAATCTCTTTAAAAGACCCTTGCCAAAATCAAAACCAGGTATGTTGTTTTGTGAGCATGTTCTCAAGAACTGGGTTTGTGTATGATGCTTGTTTGAAAATCATAGCATATAGCTTAGAAGAAGAGTGAACAAGAATATCCTTATTTAAACTGAAATTTTCTGTTTAGGTGCTGCTTGGGCTTTGAAAACATGATGCTTTCAAAGCACGCTCCTTCAGTTTTTCAGATGTTTATTCAGTTCTGAAACAAAAGTATGGGAGTTGAAATACAAGTATTGTATTCTGGAGCACCTTCTGTTAGTCATTAAAAGTTTGAGCACATCACTAAAATCAATCCAAGGTATTGTGTTTCTGCCAGTTACATCCCATTAGTTCAGCTGAACTGTATGACTGTTCACTCTTAACTTTGCCCAAAATGCATTACTTGTGTCTGTGGCTCATATGTTTTATCTGGATCTGAAACTGTGATGGCAGTCTGTGCGTTAATTACCAACAACCCTCCTGGCAGAGAGTAGATTGATTCATTTGATATGTGGTGGTATTTGAAGCTGTAAACTATTGGGATTAAAAATTCATCCTTTACTCTTTAGGGTTAAAAATAAACTGGCAGGATTTCATTTCACAGTGGTCTGTGACACAGATGCTCTTGCTGTCCAGAACACAGACAGAGTGCTGTACTATGGAAGTGTTTCATACGGTATTCAGGGTACATTATAGAGCTTGTGTACTTATACCAGAATCTCCCAAGAATTTTGGGCCTATAAATCCTGTGAAAGCACTGAATATTATTTGATAGTTCATTGTAGAGTGAATTTAATAAAGCTGGAAGTATCATTGAAAGTAAATTGCAACTTAGGAAGCAGAGGTTCCTAAACAGAGTTCACAAAAGGCCTGGGAGCATAATACATGGTTCCAGAAGGGCCTTTCACTTTGCAACATACATATATGTTAAATTGAATGAAAATGCATTAGTGTTACCTTAAAGTGCTTGCTTAATTGAGATAAAATTCTGATAATACTCAGTTTGGCTATAAGGTACTGACTACTTTATCTTAGCAATTGTGCCTAGCTACTGCACAGTGTCTGGTATCTGAACAAAAAAGTGGCTGCTCTTTACTCTTTTCTTCTGCAAACATTGATTTGTATTTTTCAGGTTCTCCACACTGGCAGACAAAGTTGGAGACTGCGCAGAATGTTCTTTTGTGTAAAGAAATTTTTGCCCAGCTGTCACGAGAAGCTGTTCAAATTAAATCACAGATTCCTCACATTGTTGTGAAAAATCAGATAATCTCCCAGCCTTTTCCAGGTAGGAAACTTTCCAAGACTTCTTAGCAATTATTTGCTTAAACATTAACTGAAATTCCTGATTGATGTGACCTTTTTTAATGCTCTGTTCTTAAAAAACAGCCTTCTTGGTTTTTAGAGGTTTTGAAAAACAGAATTTCACAGAGTTGGAAATTTGCATACTAATTATAGAAAAATTCAGCTAATGTGCTTTAGTTTCTAATTTACTCTGTTTTCCTTTGTGGCTATGATTTTGTCAGCAGCACTTAAAGCTGTCAACTGTAATGCCATGTGCACATGGCAGTTTGGAGCTGTGCATAGGTCATTGCTCCTGGATTGCACACAAGTGAAATTTAAGGCTTGAGTTAATGGGTCTTCAGAAGAACAAAGGCTAAAGCTCTTCGATGAGGATAATTAAACAGCATGAGGGTGGCTCTGAGTCAGCTGCTGAATCCTCTGTTCTTACAGGGGGTACACAACTGATAGTATCGTGAAGAATCTATTTCTGGATTGCTTAAAATGTGCATGATGGTAAATCATTCCTTCTTTGGGGAAGTAATGGGGTCCTGAGGACTTTTCTTTTTGTGTGGGATGGAGTCATAGAAATTGGTGAGAAATGCAGCTAGTGAGTTCATAGCTGGCCTGTCAACACTTCAGTGAGTAGCAAGTTTTACTTGCCTTTGGTGCTGTGCTCTCCACCATCATTCTTTGATTTTTCTCTGATACGGTGAATTCTCATTGTTAAACTACTCCTATAAAGCGTGAAGAAAAGTAGTTTTCAGTAGCAACCTTGACAATTGTCAGTGCTCTCTTTTGTTTTTTTCTTCCCGTCTGTTTTGTACAGGTTTGCAGTTGTCTATTTCTCTGTGCCACTCTTCCAATGACAAAAAGTCACAAAAGGCTGCTTCTGAGAAACAGAATCCAGAGGATCATCTCTATGTTCTGGAACATAATTTGCATCAACTTATCAGAGAGGTAATAAATGCATTTATGGTCAAACACTGAACAGTTTTTGGGCTTTTTTTCAATCTTTTGCCTGGTGCGCGGTACTGATGTAACAGCCAAGTGCCGCTAGAGGCCAGTCTCTTCCCATCCATTTGTAAAAGGCAACCTATTGCTCGGTTTCAACGGGTATGGGTGGTTCAGGAGTTCCACTTCATGCCTTCATGGAATGCTAGTTCTTTACTTAACCTCAGGCCTGGCTGCTCACTTCAGAACAGTCATGCAAAGCTTTTCCACTAGAGCTCATCAGTCTCCCTTTTTGCATTGTGTCTGATTAATGCTTGGCAAGCAGTGTAAAGGAGCATCTAGTTAGACTGTATCCCCATGAAGGAAGAACAATCAATTATTGTAATAGCTTTGCTTCTTTTAAGATCCACTTCTCTGCTTCAGTGTTTAATATTCTTGTATAATCTAGCAGAATGACCTGGGGTAGAAGGTTGAGGTTAACGTCTGTTCAGGAAAGGAGCGCAATTTTGCATGTCTGAGCAGAGTTGAAACCATATTCCAGTGAGTGTTCATCTCTTAGAGCATGGCTCTGCAAGTCATGTGGAATAGTCCAGTGTTTTAAATGCTGATTTAGGTTTCACAGAGCTTTGGCTCAGTGCCCAGCTCTGCTGTGAATTTCCTTTCTTTACTTTGGACAGGTTATTAAAACTTTTTGTACCTCAGTTTTTTTTCCTCTACAATGCTTCCTTTGTTTTTATTTGACCATTTTTCTGTCTCCAGAGATGTATTAAAGGCATGGTTCCAAATTTTGGTTAGCTAGCACTTTTCAAAAAGAAAAAAAAAATCACTTTCCATAAGTTTTGAAAGACACACATAAAGTTGGCTTTAAAATGCTGTCAGGTTTCTAAAGTTAAATGTTGCACTGTTGAAAATATGTAAACTTAAAAAGCCTGATGTGAAGCAGCATATTGTATATGTAGTATTTCTTGCAGATACATTATTTGGTCAATTCCTTTTATAACATCTGTTGTTTGTTTCAGTGTCACAAGCAAACCCTGAGCTCGACAGTAATGCCACATCCAGCTAGTGCACCTTTTGGCCATAAGAGAATGAGACTTGCAGGACCCCAGGCTTTTGATAAAAATGATATCAGTTGTCTACAGTCGAATGAAGGACTTCTGGAAAAGATAATAAAACAGGCAAAACATATCTTTCTGAGACGCAGGTAGGTCACATGCTCTTCTTGTTTAAAGTTACAATAAAATGTACCATTAAGTAGAATGCAATTGATCTTTTTTAAGTGTTCTTAAAATTAGCCACTGTTTCCTTCACAGTTAAAATAGTCTTTATTTGCAAGTACTAAGAAACAATAATATATGATAAAATATGAGCAAACAACACTCAGCTAGCAAAAAAAAATCAGATTTTTTTGAGATCGCTGTGACAGTTAGGACATACACTGCTGATAATTGTCCCTACTTATGTTAAACTGCATAAAATACCTTTTTCCATATTTTTTGCAATGCAATAGCTGATACTGAGTAATACCGATTTGATATGGCTGCTGAATGCTTGAGAAATGTGCAGAATAAACAAGTGGCCTTTATTAGCACCAGAATGGTGCTGAAATAGAGCTTTGATCCACATGGTTCCCTTAAATGGAATAACCTGCTCAGTTCCTTTAAACAAGAGAGCAGCACAAACTGTCTAGATTGTTGTGTGTGGAATATGGCTTTATCTTCTAGAACTGCTCGAACCATTGACAGTCTGGCGAGTCGTATTGAGGATCCTCAGATTCAGGCTCACTGGTCCAATATAAATGATGTTTATGAATCCAGTGTTAAAGTTCTAATAACTTCTCAAGGATATGAGCAGATCTGCAAGTAAGTATGAGAATGCATGTCTCTTTTTACTGGTAGAAGCATGCAGCAGAGAATGTGTATCCAAGTTGTGCTTTTAAGGTTTAGATTCTTCTCAGACAGACAAGTAGGAGTCCATTATTTGCGTGTGTGTGTTAGTCTGAGTTGTGGGGTGAGCAGCCACCCTAAGAAAACTCTTCACCCACTTTGCACTTTAATGAAGAAATGTATTACATCTTTAATTAGCACAGTTTCCTTTCAAAGAAGAAAATAGAAATGAGAGTGGTGATTTAAGGGGGGGATTTACTTTGGGTAGAGAAGACTGAATACAAAGTATCATTTGATATGCTGGATTCTAAACTTCCAGGCTCCTTATGGAAAGCTAATCAGTGCTCAGTCCTAGCTTGGTTGTATAGGTACTGAAATTCATGTAATTCATGCAATTAGTTATGCACATTGGTATCAAAATAAGTAATGTCGCGTTCCAGAAACAAATGTCTGGATGCTGACCAGCAGTAAATTAACTAATGCATTGACAGGTTTTTTACATTTGGAGCAGTGTTCTGTGTCCACAGTGTGGGGTAAACTGCTGTCACTGGTGCAATTGCCAGTCTTGGTTCCAGAATGCATATGCTGCCCACGTCTTGGCTGTAGTATAGAACACACTGTTTTCCCTGCACCTCTGGAAGGAAACTTGGGCAACAGTGGCAGGCAAGGAACTGTGAGGCTTCCTTGACCTGAACAAGCAGTGGGCCACGTCTGGGAACACGCCACAGAATATGTGCCCTGCAGTATAGAGGGAGCTGTTGTGGTGAGTGATGAAACTGAAACGGTTGGAGTTGCTGTCACATTCGGTGGGCTTTGTACCATCCATCTTAAGAGTTCTTGTCAATGACTGGGAGGGATTCTGTGTTCTTAGTTTCCTGTTTTCTTTAGTGTTGTAGTGCATTTTGAATAAATATGCCTCTTATCTTCAAAGATCCATTCAACTACAGCTGAACATTGGAGTTGAACAAATCAGAGTTGTGCATAGAGATGGAAGAGTTATTACATTGTCCCATCAAGAGCAAGAACTGCAGGATTTCCTTTTATCTCAGGTAGACTCATACACATTATTCTTCCCTTTCTTGTACTGTTTGGAAAACAGAAGAAGAATCTCACCTTTTTTTGTATAGAAAATATTTTAAAACTTCAAATAAAGATAGTGAAAATGGGAAGGTGGATTACTGAATTTTTACTATGTTTGTATAGTGACTTCAGCAACTGTTACTAAAATATAATGCCAGTTTTTACTAAGGTCAGTAGTAATAATGATTTTTCCCTCCCATTTAAAATACATTTCTTTATGCTGCTCATTATGGTAGAAGCAAGTCAGTGAGACTCATAACAAACAGTAAGGTATCCTATATGTGAAACTTACTGTAACCAAGTTCTTAATGAGCCCACAATTACTGTCATTTCATCATTGTCTGTTAGTGTTCACTTTGCATCAGTCATTACTAAATCAGCTGATATTTGAATGAACTCTATTTATGTAATTGCTTAGAACAAGCTGCTGGTTTTATTCAGAAGCAACAATCTCCCTACTATGCATTATAAATAGTCAAAATACAGGTCTTTAATAATAGTGGTTGGCCTGTTGCAGTTATAAAAAACTCCACGACACAGAAAACAGGTTGAAACAGATTCTGCTGAGGGCATGTCTTTTTGGTCAGGTGTTGTCAGACTTGTTCACAGAGAACTGCTGAACAGTGCTAGATAGTTCCTTGTAACAAGTGTTAAGTCATAATACAGAAAAACAGTAGCGTTTAAACTCCTAAGCTGTTAAAGCTCAGTGCTTACACTTGAGCATTAATGGAGATAATCATGGATATGAGAACCTCAGGATTTTTTTCTGTATTTTTTCTTTTGATACTTTTAAGATTTTTATATATTTTACAGTGGAAGTCTTGTTTTTATTCACAGACAGGATTGTTTAAAAATCCTGTTTGAATCCCTTGAATTAGTTCTTGAGACCTAAATATAGGTATTTGTAAATTGAAAGCAATATTTAAATAAATTGCATAAACCCATATACCTATGAAAAATTCATCTAATTGAATAATACAGTGGTCTCCTCTATCTGCACAGGAAGTAGTCTACATTCAAATAACACAAAGCTCTACCAGCATACATGTAAAAAATAAAAAAGTTCCTCCAAAGTAGAGAACTTAAAGTACAAAGTCACTTTTATAAATAACTATTGTATAGAAATAAAAAGGCTTGGTAAACCCAGTAAGCAATTCTTTCTGTGGTGTGCAAATACTGAACAGAAGGCGAACCTCTTGTTATCTTTCAGATGTCACAGCACCAAGTACATGCAGTTCAGCAGCTTGCAAAAGTTATGGGATGGCACGTGCTGAGTTTCAGTAATCATGTTGGTCTGGGGCCAGTGGAGAGTATTGGCAATGCATCAGCAATAACTGTAGCATCACCAAATGGAGACTATGCCATTTCAGGTAATGTTTCTATTGCAAATGCATGCAAAGTCATAAAATTCTCAAGTGAGATCTACAGGCTTTACAAGTCTATTTCTGAGATATTTTGTGGAGCATTTTGGTATAAATTGATACTATTCTATACAAGTGTAGAGACTATTTCTTTTGTGTATGGAATTGACATCTGAATAGAATCAATACTTTCCCTAGGAATCCACTTAATATAAACTTGATTTAATTTACACAAGTTTGAAAATATTTCTTACAGTTAGCATAAAAACAGAAGATTACAGAAACCATCAAGATCCTGAAGGAGGGGGAAAAGGTAAACAACAGGATCACAACTCTGGCCTTAAGGAGAAGAGAGTTTGGTCCCTTCAGGGATCTTTGTGAAAGAATCTTATGGGATGTGATCCTGTGGGATGGAAAGGAGTTCAAGAGAGCTGGTTGTTTATTTTTTTCAAGGATCACTTCTTTCAAGCTCAAGAATGGTCATACCTATGTTCTGGAAGTTGTGCCAAGGGGACAGAAAATCTGTGTGTATGAACAGGGAGCTCATGACTGAACTCATGACAATAGAAAAGAAGCTGCAAGAGATTATAAGCATGACCAGTTGACCTGGGAGAGAGAGAGAGAGAGAGAGGCTGTCCAAGCATGCATTGACGAGGATAGAAAAGCTAAGGTCCTGAGGGGTGTACAGGGCAACAAGAAGAGTTTGAGCAGGTATGACAGCAGCAAAGGGATGATTAGGGAAAATGTGGGACTCCTTTTAAATGGGCAGAGGACCTGATGGCACAGGACATGAAGAAGGCCAAGGTACTCAGTACCTTCTTTACTTTGGTCTTAAGACTGGCCTTTAGGAATGGGTCCATGAGACCCATGGGAAATTTTGGAGCAAAGACAGCCTCAGTTGCAGAGGAGCAAGCTAGAGAACCTTTGAACAAACTTAGATATTGACAAGTTCATGGGACCAGGTGGGATATATCCATGAGTGCTGAGGGAGCTGATTGATGTCATTTGTAAGGCCACTCCTGATCATCTTTAAAAGGCCGTAGGGATCAGGAAGGATTCCTGAGGACTGGAAGAAGGTAGATGTTGCATCCTATATTCAAGAAGGAGAATGTGGGGAAACTACAGTCTGATCAGTCTCATTGCATTACTGGGAAGATAAGGGGGGAAAAACCAGTCCCAGAAGAAGTTTCCAAACATATTCCAGAGAAGGTGGTGACTGAGAGTAATTGGCATCAATTTATGAAGGAGAAATTACGTTCAATCAGCCTGACACTCATCTGTAGAAGGCTGGCTTGGTAAATGAGGGGAAAGCTAAGTGTTGCCTCCCTAACTGCTATTTAAAAAGCCAACACACACCACTACCCAGCATCAAAACACAGAAATGCATCCAACCAACAAAACACCACCACCCCTCCACCAGTCTTGCAGAATTTTGAGATTAAAAACAACAACTATGCTGGTGACTTTGTCCCTGTCCATTTGAGATAAATGCACTAGAAACAATACATTTTTGCTCACATTTTTCAAAGAATAGTGGGAAATACATGCAAGGAAAGAATGAGCATAATAACCTTTGCCCTTCCTGGCATCATTAGGGAAAAATAAATGTGTTTGAAAGGTGTATGTGTGGGGGTTTTATCAGATGTATCTCTGGTTTAATCTAACCAGAGTTAGATCCAGTTAAACAGTTCGTGCTAAAGCAACAAAATCGTAGAGAACTAGGAGATGAGAGAGAGAAAATTAAAAGAAAAAGCTTTTAAAAAAAAAAATTCCCTTGTTTGCTTTCAGCATGCTTGGAATTGAGTAGGAGTAATGTATAGTATACACAAGGAAGAATATTTAATAGGAGAAATTCGTACAGTGTAAAAATGCTCATTAAAATCTCTGTTCATTGCAGTACGTAACGGTCCGGAAAGTGGCAGCAAAGTTATGGTTCAGTTCCCTCGGAGTCAGTGCAAGGATCTCCCAAAAGGCGATGTACTGCAAGACAGCAAGTGGAATCATCTCCGAGGGCCATTCAAAGAAGTTCAGTGGAATAAAATGGAAGGGCGTAACTTTGTGTATAAAATGGAACTGCTCATGGCTGCCCTAACTCCCTGCTAATGATACGTCGGCCTTACTGTGAGGGCTTTGAATAGTCTCTGTGCAACAATCACTGCCCCTGCAGCAAAGGGAAATGGAAGCTATGGGCCAATACAAGAAAGCAACCCCAAATTTATTTCCTGTACAGATATGTCCATTGTGGAGTTTGTAATAAAACTTTTTTCAATGGCATATAAAATACATATAATTTTTTGAAAAAGTTCTGCTCAGCTGTATCTTTGCTGATTGCTCTGTCCAGGGTAACATAACTGAGTAACTAATGTATTTTTTATTTATAAAATTAAATTCAGTATTTCTTTTACTACATAAAAGGTGTGTGCTTGGAATCATTCCCTTTCCTCTCATGCCCTTATTTTTTTCAATAGATCTTTGCAAGTATTTCTGAAAGATTAAAAATATTAGAACTGAATTGGGCTCTCAGTGGGCCTTTTAGTGGTTTGTACCACAGAACCTGGCTATCCCTGTGGATGGTAATGGCCTTGTTTGATGAGAAGTGGGACAACAGTAGAAGCAGAGCTCCTGTGTCAAAAATTGAAGCTAAACAATACTTAAGATCTTCGCTGTGTGGCATTCTTGAGTTGGATTGTTTGTACATTGATGGGGATTCTGGGTGACCCATTTATTACTTACTTGGCAGTTCGTTTAAGTTGAGAGTGTTACAAAGTCACAGCTTGTGTTTTCTGTCTCTCTTTTTTGCAAGAATATAGAGGGAAGGTCTTACTCTGCTTGCAAAATTCTGACAACTTGAGTTTGTGAGTGATTTGTGTAAATTAATGTCTGGATAGAAGGTGGTAACTCTCATGCAGTAAACCTTGGATCTCCACACTTGTGCTGCTGGGTTTTTATCCTACACTCTCAATGATTATCATCCAGGGAAACAATAATACCCTCCTGAATATCAGCTCTTTTGAGTTCTTTCAAAATAAAAAAAATTATGGTTTTGATGGTTTTGGTTTGGTAATTGTAGCCTTCTTGAAGCTTCTAGTAAGGTGTTTAACAAAGCTTTTATTTTGTTTGGTACTTAATTGCTAAAGGTCTTTTTGAAACCTGTCTGTATGAACTGGTTCAGATTCACGTCCGTGTTGTGTTATGAGGTGTGTGTATATACGTATATATATATGAGAATTTCTTGCACATGTTTGAATTGAACATCATACTTCTATGATGACAGTTATTATTTTGTTGTACTCAAGTAATAAAGAATAGTTTTGGGAAATACATATTAAGCAACTGCTTGTGGCAAGCTGCTGCTCATTGTGTATCCAAAGCAGCTCTTGATGTTTGCCAGCATGGAGCATCTTGTTTCAGTTCCTGGATGTATTGGCTTCTATGTAACTAATCTGTGAGAGAGAAAGGGTTTTCCTTTCAGGTTCTGATGAGTTGCCCAAGACAACTGATGAAAATGAAAAATACTAGTTGAAAATAGTCTACTGACCTTCTTGAAAAATGGGTGTATTATATTTAACACCCATGATGTCATGTCCTGTATTGCTGGACTAACAGACACTGTACAACTACAGGCAGGGAGAACTTTCGTTTCTTGGTGAACAGTTCAGCCAACAGCCTGATGCATCCAACTGTATGAGGCTGTTTTGACTCCTGCCAACACAACAAATCTTCCCTTACTAATAATTAGAAGATGAGTCTATGAAACTTGAACATGTCTTTACACTTCACTGTTGTTAACCTAAATTGACAGGTCTGCATGTAGTGATAGCCTTTTCATTAGGTAAGTTCTTCATTACCATGTAATCAGATCACTATGGAGCTATTAGAATCTCATGGTTGCAGGACTTGTCTCCTGAAAAGAAATAACGGATGCAAGAGGACATCTAATGTGTTGTGGAAGTGCAAGCACTGCATGTTAGCAGTGAAAACATTTGTCAAGACTTCCATATCTAGCTGAAAAAATAAGAATAATAACAATAATTTTAATGGAAAACAGACTGATTAGGCCTCTAACAGTCTTGAAAATTAGTAGTTCATCTTTGAATATGAGATGAAGACAGAGAATGATTAGGACCTTTACTACTTGTCATGGTTTGAAAAGTCCAAATCCAATTCTGATTCCTAGCCCCCCCCCCCCCACATCTCAACTCCATGTGAGATGGGTTTTCTAGACAAAAACACGAGTCTTAATATGGGGGAAAGGAATATATTACAAAGACTATACACATAAATAAATACTATAATACACTGCATACAATCTTAACTCTATATCTATCTCTACCATGACAGTAATATTTACAATGGGCCAAATCTCTTCTCCCTCCAAATAAAAGTCCAGGAGAGAAGAAGAAGAAAAGACCCCTTCTAGTCTCTGAGCAACAGGTGTCTCTCTAGGCAGCAGGCTTTCTTCTTCTCTTTCAGGCAGCAGTTGCAGCTGGATCCTTGCCAATACACACGAGGGGGGTCTCCAAGCCCCTCTCGGCCCTCCGTCTTCAAAACGGGGGTCTTTCTGTGGACTACGTAACCCCAGACAAGGTCGTTCCACCACGGTCATATCACGAAGCACGGGGGTCTTCGTGACAGTCTGGTATCTTCAGGGGAAATCAAGCCCCTTCACAGAGCTTCTGTGCTCTGCCTCAAAGATGGCTGCCAGCTTCTCTGAAGCTGCAGCAAGGAGGTGGGGGGAAGCCCAAGGTCACCCCCTCCACACACATTCCTTTGGCCATCCTGGCTGAGCTCTCAGGAGGCCAGAGTTTCTTAGCTCCTCTCTGTAGTGTATACTGCACTTTAGGACTCCACTCAGTCCACCACCCCCTCCTCTTTCTCGGAGGGGTCTCTAGTGAGTTTGGGGGTTTTGGTTTGTCCAGTTCTTACCCCTCGAAACTCTGTTCCTGCTGCTGCTGGCTCTTTTCCTTCTCTTTAGACAGCTCTCTGTCTGCCCTGGTTGCATACTGGCTTATGTTGTTCCTTTGGTCTTTATCAGTTGGCTCTTTGCCACTGCTCTTCGGACGCTGCTGTCTCCGCTGCTGCTCCGTCGCTGCTCCCAGCGTCTCCCACTTCTACTTACAGGGGAGAAACTCCCCCAGCTCCTAGCCGCAGGCACTCAGCCCAGCTTCAACACCATTCCAAGTCCCTGCAGCCCCCCAACCGGGGGCTGGGGGGGCAAAGCCCCCAGGGGCCCTAAGCCCCTGCTTCGTGGCTTCTACAACATGGCCACCCTTCTTCTAACAACCAGTGCCACTGCTTCTTTTCCGGTCTCCAGAGATATGTTTATATTTTGCAGGAGCACTGATTGGGTCAAGCCCCAAGGGTCACCACCCCCTGGGGGTTACCACTTTCAGCTTCAGGGGGAAACCTGGTTCAAACCACTACATACTGATTGCCAAAGCAATCTTGTGAACTTGGACATCTCTTTAATTAGTTTAAAAATAAAATGCCTTAATCCGTTTGATCATCTAGAATGCTCTAAATATTAAATTCACTGGTGTTCTGCAGGGAGTTTACAAGAGGAGTAAGAATAGCTATTAGTTTCTGAACTTCCACTGTAACAACTTGCCATAAGGCTTTAGATGCTTCAGGGCAGCAAGAAACTGTTATAGACAGCTTAGCCTCACCTTCTGTACATAAAATAATACTGACATTAATAATGCATATTGACAAACATAATTTTCAGAAAAATGTTAATGTTTTATAAAAGACCCTACCTGTGTAGAGTAAGCATGTTAAATTCTGGGTAAAATTTGTGAGTGAGGAATTGTCTATAAGGAAAGCTGTACATAGGCTAACTGTACTGGATGTCATCAGTGAATGTTCAGTCCCTGTTGTTCATCTGGGATATTACTGCCTAAAAGCGAGGTTGGCACCACGGTTAACAGCCAAGAATAGGTGCCTGAAGTTGCAGTGACTTTGGCCAACCTAAGAGAGGTAGAACAACTGTGCCAGGTGGAAACTTGTTACTGCTGTTGTAGTACATCTTAAACTGAAGAATTTTAAGTGGTCGTTTCTTGCTTTCATCTTAGCTTTCAAATATTGTAGTTTACAAGTGTGCGTGATCTCTACAATCACAGCAATGCACTTGAATAGTCATTCATGTCTGGATGTGTTTCCTGACTTCCTTTGGCAATTGCAGTGTTCAGGGCAATGTTAGCAGATAATAATGGTGTTATGTGCAAGCTGCACTTTTTGTACTTTCTAAATAAGTCTGGCAGAGCACCTACTACATATTCAGTTCAGCCTAATAACTTCACATTCAAATTCTAAGATTTAGGGAATAAAAAAATATGGAATAGGTAAACAGAAAAAGCCCCAATAATATTTTCCATATGCTATAAGTATACTTCACCAAGTACTTCAAGCTTGGTGATTGGAACAGATGCACTTAAGGGTTTCTCTGTTGTCAAAGCTTAGTTCACTCAAAGATACGTTAGCTCGGTAATACACATTTGAAACAGAAAATTAGAACAAACTGTCAGTCATCTGTGCTGTCTGTATCTGAGATTTTTAAAATTTAATTTCTTCCCTTCTTTGACCTGTTCTCCTAAATGCAGGAAGGAACAAACAGCTGAATCTAGTACCTGGATTTATGAGTGGGAGAGAGGCCCTTGTACTACAAATGGCCAGTTCAATCTGGGGATGACTTAAAGGTATTTTGCGTACAGGGTGCTTTGGAAAAAAGCTTGTTTGACACCTACCTGCATCGTTTTTCACTTGGTGAGAAATTCTCTGACAGTTTTTCCAAATGGAACCCATAGTACCTCTGCACCTGGTCATCCTAGTCCCTGACCAGAGGGGAAGCTCTGTCAGTCTGTCCTGTAAAAGGTTTTTGCAAACAAGTGAGACAAAGAGTGAGAGAGGTAGTAGGAGCAGTTTGACTCAAACAGCCGTGTGGCAATCTACAGGCACAGACTAGTCCAGGGTCTCTTACATTTTCAAAGTTTATTTCACACTGCAAAATTCTCATTACAAAAGCAAAACAAAATAACTTGAAGCTCGGTCAGTTTACTGCTTTCTTGCTGACAAACACAAATGTTATGCCACCTGCAACAGATCTGCAGGTGGAGGATTGCATTAAGTGCAATATGCAGATTCAAGAAAGCATTAGTTGGAACACTTCATGTTTTCTTTGAACATAGGGAAAGCAAAGGTGGCTTCTCAACAAGAGCAATTTCAGAACTGTTTTTGTAAATACTAAATTTCAAAGTAATATTGTTCTAACTTTTCTTCTCAGACGGTTTGTCACTGGGCTAAGTTTGCAAAGGACTGGACATCTTTCACAACAAAACTGTTTAGTACTTTGCCACCCCACTGGTGCAGTGTATCAGTATTTTGCGACCCCCTCATATCTTTGTAGACAGCGTCCTCTTCAGTGCCTGCACAGGCTTCCTTGTATAACCACCTGCTCTAGTAATGTCATAAAATGTGTGTTAATATCCATTCCGGGGCAGTGTAAACAATTGCAAACATAAGCGGGAGAACTTTGACCAGCTCGGCATTCTTTCCAAGTCAGTTTTGTCTCATGAAAAATTACAGTTTGTCTTCAGAGCTTCAGGAAGTTCCTTACACCTGAAAGTAGCAGCATAGCTGCAATAAACAGGATTCAATGCTTGCAATTAATTTTTAATGTAATACTGTAATTAGATATTAAATTTATTATGTTGAAGAATGCTAATGACCACTGTCTTAATAGGAGACTTGCTGTATCCAAAATACAGGTGTCCTTCAAGACCATGATAATTTCCTTTATGGGTTGGTCTTAAAGGCTTGGTTGCTTGGTTGGCTGGTTGTTTTTAAGAATGGTAGAGGCTGTAGATTTTATTAGTTAGCCACAAAAATGTGTTCATGCTTCGCATGAAAGCATTCTCTTTTTTACTGTGACCTTGACTAGCAGAACTGAAAACTTAACAGGTCAAAACAGCTCCATCAGACACTGCTGATTTAATTGCAAGTCAGGATGTTTCTGCAGTAGTCACAAACATTTTACCTTCTAGGTTTGTTCTTGCTTTCTTGGTCAATATTTTCTCCTGAGGTAGAATTGTTATTTTTGCTATGATACAGTCCTTGGCTAACACTCAATGGTTTCCAATTCAATCTCTTCCGTTGTACTTGCTGTAAATAGAAGCATATTGTTATTGATTGGCAAATGGATTGGAAGGCCAATGTTCCAAAATTATATGTGTTGTGCTAATAGCTGAGATATTTTG